AGTCTGCAGGATCGAAAACTCTCAGCTGTTGGCTGATATGGTCAATCTCCTCCGAACGACGACCAGCCGTCTTCAACTGGCGAATCATCGCGAGGTCGTTGACGGCGCCGCTATTGAATTGCAAAAGAAATTGTAACCGGCCAAAGGGACCATAAAAATTAATGCGATGACCGCCAAGCACGACGGGATATCGGACCATATCTCATCTGATAATGTGGGTGCGAATGAGAATGTGTCGGGTGTCGCAAAGAACTTTGGCACTTTGCGTCCTCATTGACGGCCCTCAGTAATCAAATTCTTCTAAAGGAAAACAAAAGGCCATGTAATAATCTGTATACATTTCAACGAACATCGAAGCACAATCAATAAATCAAAGGGTTGATCAATAATGAAAATAGCGACTGGAAACAGGCACATTTGGACAGTTTTAGAGGTCAACGACACAAACATTTGTGAGTGTGCCTCCACATAAAAGCCTCGCCATGATACTCGTAGTCGTTCAATTAGCACGCATGAGGAATACTGTAGGATTACGGTAGCATAGGAAGGAAAATGAGTTGTGAGAAAAACGAATTAGACAACTGAATGCTAATGGGTTGGCCTAAATGACGTCATCGAAAAAGATTAACAAAAAGGTTGCTTTTTTCATTGTTTCGATCCCAACGTTAGACAGGCAATACAGAAACATGCCTGCCCAAACGCCTTCATGCAAGGGGCTGGCCCCAGTGCAGCGAAATTAATTGGCCCTGGTGGGACGGGGAAGGTGCTCGTTGGCTGTGATGACGGCGGTGGGGGTCCGATTGGGACAGAGATACGGTCTTCGGCTCGCAACGCGGCCAGCTGCTTCTGCAGCTCGTGATTTCGGATTGTCAGCTGGCGAATCCTGAAAGTACCGTAGTCTATTGAAAGGCAGACTATGATATAAAAGCTCAGAATGAGTTCTGCACCCTGTCGAGAACTATCGCTTATTCTGGATCTTATTAAAAGCACATTTCGCCATGACTCGCCTAAAACGGGATTGAAATAGAAGCCTATGTGCTACTTGACCAACCCGAGGAGAAGGTAGCGGACCAAACCGAAGAAAACTTTCTAGATAAGCGCCTTTCTCGTTCCGAGCGAGAGGCGAAGATTCATTGGGATTATGGGTGTGAGACTAGACAACAGTACGGAAATAGCATATAAAAAGGTGAGGCGACAGACACCAGAGCAAAAGGAGATTAACTTGGCATTACAGCAGCTTACAGCGACTTCTGTCGCCCTATTAGCCCCCTCGCTTTCTTTCTCGACACGAAAATTGCTCAAAGTTATCCTCTGTGACGGACAGACCTTTCCCCTTACAGTGCAATGACTCTTACTTAGTCTGCTCTGAGAAATGGCAGTCAGAAATCCTAGTCAAAGTCGAAAGATGGTAAGAGTGGCCCCGGTAGCGCCCGGTAAGTGGGAGATTCAGCTCCAAGTCCGATCTCGAGTCTGACTCTTGCCAATATCTCAAGCAATCTTTGTGAATACTTAAGAAGCGCGCTACTTGCGGCGTAAATAGCACTTTATCAAACTTAACCAATTACAATTTAAATCCTACAGAAATGTGACACTCCTTACCAGTTGCATGCCAAAAGCAACGTATTGATTTTGCTCATTTTCCGTGCTGACTGGTCCTGAGAGTACGGTAAGCAGCTGCGTAGCTCTTCCAGTGCTTCGTTCAAGTCGTGCATTCGTTTTCGCTCTCGAGAGTTTATTGACGTCCGTAAAATATTCTGCTCCTGAAACCAATGGATTAATCAGCTACCTGTTAACAGCGGTTATGCTAAAAGCGGGATTCATTCCCAATTTCTGAAGAATCAGCTTTTTTCCACTGTTCAATAAAAACTGCATCATGAGGGATCCTGTTTCGAAAAGAATATAAAAATAAGGAATATATGGTTTACTTACTAGGAACATTGTGACGATGGCATATACCGTAATTAACAGTTTTAATCAGCCGCGCGTGCAGCACTCTGCACTGTGTGCAGCACTAAATAGGAACCGGATCTTGAAATCAAATGGGCTTTTTCTACTACTAAAGTTATCAGTACTCATTCTCAGAAGAATTACTGCTTCCTACCCGTACACCTACACCCCCTCCCCTTCCCCACCTACATAACACCTCTCCATATTGGAAGATTATCAGTCATTGTTGACAAACTCGATCAAAGGTGGAAATATGAACGCACTACCGGGGCAGTTCGGCGACGGAGGGGGGGGGCCTTAGCCCTCCCATGGATGGGGCGACCATCTATATAATAAATCGAACATTACTACTATGGCTAATAGAATGGAATAAGCAGAGTAGGATAAACAGCAGTTTCAAGAGGGTGAGCTCAGAGGGTTAGATTAGCTTCCGTTTGGAATCAGCTCAATAAGCTAGAAAAGATAGCAGGAGGAGGGCTGCCTGGGATTCGCCTGAGAACCAATGCTGAATCCCTTTTGTCCTAGCTCACAATCGTTTCTTGTTGCCTTCCCACACCTGAAGGCATCCAAAGGAATAAGGACAACGCGGAAAAGGCGAGCAAAGGGAGCATGACCTTTCGTAGCAGTACAGGAGCTTATATGTCTTGAAGAAATTGCCCGGTATGTTAACAGGAACCCCCTTTGGCCAACTTGTCTTGAGCTGAAGTAACTTCTTAAGGCATATGGCACGATGATTTGGTACCCGTTTTAAACTGCTAGCAGAGTGCTATATAGTGGGAACGAAGTGAAACGGTCAAAAACCTGCGAAGAAAAGCCTTCGTTCTTAATGACTCAGCAATTTCGGACGAGTTTCCCGTAGGCATCTGCCAATAACTACGGTAGATACGGCTGCACGTATGTACTCATATATCCATGCAGCACCGCGGCCGCTTCATATCAATCCCTTCGCTTCATATTTTACTCAGCAAATGAAATGAACATCACGTACGGTCGTCCATTTTGTGAGGGCGTGGTGGGCGTTCGGGTCGGTATGTTGTACGATAGGGCCTAATAGGGGCACCTTCCTTGGAAAAGACGCTGCGCAGCGCCTGCTCAGGTGAGCGGAATTCCGTTCCTGCTAGGGGTGTTGATACTACTCGTCTTAGAAATTTATCGTGCCAACTGCTTTTAAAAGCCTTCTTACTGCAGTCGAAAGTCGCAATTGAAAGAATTTTTGAAAGCAAGTAGATCCTCGATACTTCGGAG